TTGAGGATGTTGCTGGCAATGATTGCTTTACAGATCTCCATGATATAGGCGTTCCTCCACGTGTAAATACGTATCTTGTTTGTGATTTAGCTTTATGGTGGTCAGAGTGATAACCTGCATCTGCATATCCCACTAAAGCAAATCTCGACTTTTGAAAATAAAATAATCTTAAATCAATAGTACCCTTTAGGTAACGAAAAATATGTTTAACATCATTCAATATATTTATATTGGTGTAGAGCTATATCTTGCAGAGAGATTTATAGAAAAAGTTATGTCAGGTCGAGTAAAGTTTGTAAGATAAGTGAATACTTCAATTACACTAAAATATGATACTTCAGGACCAAAACCTTTTCTTTATCTTTAAATAGACGAAAATGATCACTTTTCACATCAAGTAATCGAACAACCATATGTGATGCAAATGGATGTACATTATCCATATAAAAGCGTTTTAAGACTTTTTCTGTAAATGTAGATTGATGAGCAAATAATCTATCTAGGAAATGTTCAATCTACAACCTTAGACATAATTTGATTTTTTTTTCAAATCTTTCATCTCAAATTCATTTTTCAAATAATTTGCAGTGTTGATATCTTCAAAAAGTTTTAATTAAATTTAAATCATCAATATGAACGACTACAATTGCAAATTCAATAATTGTTTTCTTTTTGAAAACACGTAAGCAAACATCGTCATTTTTATAACCTTTCGTTAACAAATATCTGTTGAGACTATTATATCACATGCATTCGAATTGTTTCATTCCATATAATGATATTTGCAATTTAATTGAGAAAGCATAAAATTTCTTAACAATTCATGACGGGATAAATAGCACCTCAGACGGAGAAACAAAAATTCGTATAAGAATTACCACTGCCCAAGTGCAATTACTAAGTTGCATTGTTCTAAAAAAAGGGGAAAACGCGCGAACAAAACGCGTCGAATTCGGGAAATGCGGGAAAAATGCATTTTCCAATTAAAAGGCGCGCATTAGTCCGTCTAA